GGCGTTTACATGCAGCTGCTGTCACCTGAGTGTATATGCCAGATTAGGGATTCCTGCTGCAGGAAAACGCAAGGAATCCCCGCAGGAATCCCTAATTGCACCTACACTTACAGATATGAATGGGGCCTTATTGTGTGTGTATTGGTGTCCATAGCACCATACCGTATATATAGTTACATTTTATTTTGAATTATGAAATTTGGCGAGCGGCCCCCATGGGAGAAAAAAATGTGACGAGTGGCCCCGAGTGAATTGAGTTTGAGACCCCTGATCTATATGGTCAAGGTCTATGCCATGGACAACGTACGCACACATTTGACCTGATCCATAGGTATTTATTTGTTTAAAGTTTTTTTCCCCACATTCTGCTGATCAGAAAGGTTGACATCCATGGGCTGCGTCTTTCTGTACATCACCTTCAGTGTGTGCGTGCTTCTTTGCTCGTAATCTAAGAATCATTGCTGTGAGCAGACCATGTTGCACAAACTGGAATTTTGCACGAAAGATAAGCAAAGTTTATTCAACTTTTCTGCCTCTGAAATGTTTTTTTCCCCCTTTCTTTTTTTCAACATTTAGTTGATCAGTAATCAGACTAACACCATACCACTTTGCATGGTAATAGACAACAAAGTGTCTAGCTTCAGGTTTAAGCCGGTGAAAAGTTACTTGGACTTTCACACTATGAACACTATGGCTCCTGAAAACCGCTCAAATCTGGAAATGGCTACATTAAACCGTAAGTGTCTTTGTCTGCTCTGACATTTTTCCTAATGTTTGTTGATCTTTGTCATTGTCATGTACGTTACCTTGTATATTGGGGTGATTAGTTATAAAAAGGTGCAAAGGAGCCCGAAGGTATGAGAGGGTTGAAAACCAATCACTAAATCTTTAGTATGATCTTGAACACACATGGTATTGTCCACCAAGTGTGCATGTTTATTGTTCAGGTTTCCATAGTGTTGGTCTGATCTTGGCAGAAAATGTATTTGTTTGGCTTGGAAAATGTTAACTGGCTGATCGATCCTTCTCGGTTGGCCAGAAGTCACAGAGTGGCTATACAATTACAATGATCTATATAGCACCAACATATTCCGCAGCACTGTACAATTGTTTAGACAAGACAAGTAAGAAACACTGACAAGCATTATTGACATACAGAAACAGTAGGTGAGGAGGACTCTGCCCAAACGAGCTTAAAGTCTAAGACTATAGTATAAGGCTATAATAATGTAGTTGTCTTCTGGTCCAACAATATTTAGTCAGTCTGGTTATCTCATGGCTGTTAAAGAGGACCTGTCAGCCCATCTATGAGTAAGCACCACACAATGTCTTCTTTTAACTGTATTAGCCAGATAATCTTCCTTTGTGTGGCTTACATTTAAAACTAGATTATTGTGTTACTCTGGGCATCATTTTAAGGGTAAGGCCCATCCTTCTACCAATGCCCATTTCAGTGAAAGCAGCTCTATTGGCTACTCAGGCACTCTCATTTGACAGAGAGGTGACAGGCTTCCCAAAGTCAGGAAAGTCAATGGAACCAAGATCAGAGATCTACAAAGGTAATATTAGGGACCTTGTAGTGCTCTTAGTAAGGACTACTACTAGAATATGTTTTTAGTGGCTGATAATTCTGCTTTACGTTTTCTGCCAATCTGAATCTGAATTGGCGTTTGTTTCAAATAGCAGATCAATTTAGGGGAACATGTATTTCTATATTATTATAAATCTTCCCTTAGCTCCGGTGGATGTTTAAGATCAGAACATTCAGGAAAGCCTACAGTGGTTAATCACTACTGCAGTCCACCAAGAATCATTATCTTTATATTGTTGAATTTACAGTACAAGCTGCATGGCAGATATGCAGTATGTAGGCTGCCATTGCTGGTCTCCTTATGAAAATGTTAGTTGTGATCATTCACAGACCTGACACATGCAACAATCCTGTACTGAGATAGTATTAAAGACAGCACTAGGCAAAGCATAAACTTGAGAGCCTGGTAAGTAGGTGAGGTTAGTAGGTTAGGTCATCAGTGACAGCGCACATAATTCTATCTTGACCTGTCCATAAAGGGTTACTTCACACAAAGCTAATGTTCTAGCTTTGGGAAGTTGATTGCAGGTTGAACCATACACTTGTTACCTATATAATGTGTTGGTAGAGAAATATCTAGATCTGATTTCAAATTGCCACCCACCTGCATTAGCCAATTTTAGGCAACTTCATTTACCCCATTACAGTTTTGTATTTGCTGACTGACTCTGATTTACATGGCCCGGTGCACTAAAAAATCTTTTAGATATTTTATTGTGATAGTGACAATTTTGTTTCGAACATTGAAGGGTATAGGCAAAGCTGCTGCACAGCTTGTTTCCCATGAAGTGGGCTACTATGATTGTACAGCAAAACATTACATTGGCCCACTGCCAAAAAAAAGTAGAGTCAGGGTCATAAAGACCTTTCACTGGTTAGATTATTTGGTAACATTTAACTCTTGCTGTGCGCGTTTAATTATTTCAGAATTAATATCTCAGTAAAACATTACACTTAGAAATTCATTCTGAAATAATTAAACGCGCACAGCAAGAGTTAAATGTTACCAAATAATCTAACCAGAGAAAGGTCTTTATGACCCTGACCTTTTTTTGGCAGAGGGGCAATAGCCTATGAGTCCAAAAATTCCAATCCAGCTGACAAGCCAGGAGTACCCCTCAGACAGCCTCACTTTTATTGGTAAATAGGCATGCATAATTTTTTTAATGTTTTTGTTGGTTTGCCAAGGCTTCATTACTGGCAGCTACTGTCTAAGGACTATGGCTTAAATAAAGATAAGGAGGAAGCCATAAGCTTGAATACTGGATGAAGAGCCAATAATCTTATCTACTTCAGCACATTGGGACATTGTTTTCAATTTCATTAGGCTTTGGATAATGACCACTGGAATTAATAATGCTATGTTTTAACCATTAAAATTCGTAACAATAATAATAAAAATGTAATTTACCTCTAGAGTTTTTTTTCTTGTATCTTCTGGCTGACCTGGGCTATCACAGTTGATCTTCTTAAGTTTCTTAAGTTTCCAAGTTTCCTCTTATGACAAAAATAGGAGACGCTGACAAGTTCACTACTGCCACTGGACAGGCCATCTAAGACCAGAGGCCAATGTGGCCTATAAGCTTGGTGAAGAGGGTGGAGCTAAAAAACAGAGCTGCATTTCATGGATAAGTTTTTTCTACTTTATATTGAATACTTTATATAGATTTACTGATTGGTTAGATTCACTTCTAGCTTTGGTCATTGTTTATGCAGCAAAAAGCAGCAATGTGAAATGACAATCACTACTTTTTTTTGCCATTAGGAAAATCAAAATACAAAATGTATGAATAAAAAAGTGTGCTATGAAGAAAATGGCTTGTTGCGCATAGCAATTGATAAGCTTTCAACAGTCATGCTTTCTGATTGGTTGACATAAGCTGCAATACGTGTACATACATAAAAGTTTATTCAACATCTTGGCATAAGTGCCTGGTAAACATCTTGGCAAATGTGAGTATGCAGATTTTGCATTCCTATAGTCTCTAGTAATATAAATAGGAGTAACCCAAATAATAGTAAGACAGACATATAATAAATGACACATGGCATTGCAATAAATAAATTATAGATGTAACAACTCCAACGCTAATAAATATGCTACACAGGTGCTGTCAGGATGACCAATGTGGCCATTCATAGAAATATATACTAAATTAGCAAAAAAAAAACAATTGTAATTTGAGAGCAGTTAAAAATATTTCCTTGTTTAAGCATTTCTAGCCTAAAACATTGAATCATTTTATGTTACACATTTTTGTCACAACAATGATTTTCCACATCTACACAGCAATTTATGTAGATTGTACTTAGGAGTAGCACCATACACCATGCTACACTGCAATCTTGTGCTTTAGCGCTGGATAATCTTAAGGTTTCATTTTCTGTTAAGTGACTGCCCTCTAGATGTTAAAAATAAAACTGGAATCATTTTCCTCGTATTTCTGAATTTAATCCATGTTTGAACTACATGCTCTCAGAAAGGTAAATCTAACATAAATCAGAAGAAAAGAGTAAAACAATTATACCAAATGTAAAATCACGTACATTTTAAGTCCTACTATATCAAAATCATGATGGAACCATAATTGGAATTTTGTGAAATAAGAGTTACAGAATACTCTAGTCTTCCTAGTACATATTATAGTACATTAAAAAAGACTAAATCAACACAAAAAAAAAGACAAATAAAAAAATAGGAAAGATAAAAGAAAATATGCTATATGTACATAAGCATACATCCATATACAATTACATTAAATGCATACATATTTAGGTATCTCTATCTATCTATCTATCTATCTATCTATCTATCTATCTATCTATCTATCTATCTTTTATTTTTATTTAAACATAATAATATGATCTAAATTATGTTTTTAACGGTTTATCATATTCTATACAAATGTATATATTAATGTTAATATATCTTGTATATATAAGCAATACTTTCATAAAAATAAATTTTTGTCTAAATGAATATTAATTTGATAGAAATTATACATTTGAATTGAAATATAATTTAACAAGAATTATTAATAATGATTTATTAATAATATTATATAACTGTATATAATTGGAAATAATGTAATACTCTTTAAGTTATTAATTGTTTAACAATTAATTAAGACATTAAATAAAGAAAATGGAATCCTGATTTTTTTTTCCCCAAGGGCATACACAGGAATTTTTATTCCTTAAGTATTTTATGTCTCAGGGCTCTCTTCAATTTCTGCTGTTACGACAGAAAAAGGATGTTCTTAATAAGCTTTTCCTGTGTGATGTCACTGAGTTGTTAGCCTTTATATATAGTGCAAAAAAGTTGGGAAACATCTGAATCTCAGAGCAGCAGGACAGAAGACAGATCTGATTTCGCTAGCATCTCCCCCAAGCAAGCCAAAAAGGAGGCATGTCCAGCAACAGAGCAGACAATAGGCTGGGGCTTTTCATATTTGCCCTGTCTAGTCTAAAGGTCAGTCTTGCCTTTCCCAATTCCTCTCCAGTAATCAGTTCCGGATGGGGGACTCCAGACAGACTGATGCACCTGTACACAGCGACAGAATGGAACAGTTTCCACCTGCAGATCAATCACGACGGGCAAATTGATGGATCTCCGCATCAAACCATTTACAGTAAGTCTAATTATGAAAAATATCAAAAATGTGTTAAATGTGACTTAGCAATTTAAATCATTTTCAATATATAGAGACAATATAGACATTAAAGAGACAATATAAGCAATTGTAAGAAAACTGGTCATGTCGAAAATATTTAGGTTACCATTGCTAGCTAATACTTTGGTTTTGATGTATTGGGGATGATTTATTACAAATAGGCTATTCTCTTTGCAAGGGACTTTTCACTTTGCAAGGGAATTTTCCCTTAGGATAGCGAATGCGGTGAAGCTCTGCTTACTTCCATTATCCAATCATGTGCAGGTATAAATCTTTTTTTTAATGTTCCTTGCATGTGATTGGGTATTCTTGGCAAAGTGAAGTTTCACCACATTTGCTTTTCCGTTCACGTTCCCTTTCAAAGTAAAACTTCCTTTGCAAAGTGAACAGTCTATTTGCCTAGTAAATCAACCCCTATTAGTCCCCAATTACAGACAAGTATAGAGATAAGGACTTTTTGCTTTTCTCTGACTTTCTTTTGCTGCATGTTTCTTCTAAGTTTGACTCTGAGATGGTAGTCAGCTAGGTAATCAGATTTTTTAAAAGGAGCCCAGCCATGGCAACATACTTATTTCTCCTGTGATAGCTGACATTTTATGCAAAATTGTCAAGACAAAAACTATTTAAAAAAAAAAAGTTTAACTTGCTGCTGCCATATCATTCTATGTACCTTTAAAACAGTTACCATTTCTGTTTTGTATCGAAAAAATTCTAATAAAAATTTGATTTAAAAAAAACAGTAACCAAGCAATTAGAAGAGGACTCATTTTGTATTAGGGTTCTACAGGATCATCAAGAACTCAACTGGGTTGATTTAATAAAGACGAATATTTTCACTTAGCTCAGTAGAGCTGGATTTGCTTTACTCATCCAATCAAATTCCTATGCACACGATTAGGTGTTCAAAATGATCATCAGATTAACTGAAACAAACTTTACTGAATGAACCCCTCTGCACACAAAAGAAAGTTTTGTGTGTTGCAGAGTGGAAATTGTACATATCTGAAATACTGTGTATATGTGAACTGACATATTACACTGACAGCTGTAGATAACATGGACAGTTAGAGAGACTCATAGTGGGAGGAAACATATATATAATAAATACACAAAAAGTTCCTGTTTGGTACAATGGAAATGTTAAATATATTTCTGGGCTGTTTAAGAGAAAGAGTCAGAAGGGTTAATATTATAAAGACGTTTGTTACAGCTCTAGTTTTTCCTGTAGGGAACATAAAAACTAACTATAAGACCTGGAAAATTAAGGAGGAGAGATATACATTTTTAAGCACAAATGGATCAGAATGTGGATATTCTACAAATGTAACGATTATTTTTTTTCAATTGTCGGTGAATCTTTGAAAACACAAATACAATAAAACTTAAAAATATGAATACATTTATGCCTTCAGCTCAGCGCTATGTTTAATGACATATTTTATTCCTAGGAATTATTGTATGTAAAGAATAAATTGTGGAATAACTAGGGAATATCTAAATGATATAAAAAAACAACTTATTTAAATTGTGGAAGTTTAAATCAATCAATCAATTTCTTTTTCTTTCTTTCTTCCTTTCCTTCCTTTCTTTCTGTCTTTCTTTCCTTCCTTTCTTTCCTTCTTTCTTTCTTTCCTTCTTTTCTTTCTTTCTTTCCTTCTTTCTTTCCTTCTTCCTTTCCTTCTTTTCTTTCTTTCCTTCTTTTCTTTCTTTCTTTCTTTCTTTCCTTCTTTCTTTCTTTCTTTTCCCTTTCTTTCTTTCCTTCTTTCTTTTCTTCTTTTCTTTCTTTCTTTCCTTATTTCTTTCCTTCTTTTCTTTCTTTCTTTCTTTCTTTCCTTCTTTTCTTTCTTTCTTTCTTTCTTTCCTTCTTTCTTTCTTTCTTTTCCCTTTCTTTCTTTCCTTCTTTCTTTTCTTCTTTTCTTTCTTTCTTTCCTTATTTCTTTCCTTCTTTTCTTTCTTTCTTTCTTTCTTTCTTTCTTTCTTTCTTTCTTTCCTTCTTTCTTTTCTTTCTTTCCTTCTTTCTTTTCTTTCTTTCTTTTCTCTTTCTTTCTTTCTTTTCTTCCTTTCTTTCCTTTCTTTCTTTCTTTCCTTCTTTCTTTTCTTTCTTTCTTTCCTTCTTTTCTTTCTTTCCTTCTTTCTTTCTGAATATTTTTTATATTTGTAATTAATTTTACTTTTATTCTCTTAAAGGTGCCCTAATGATTAAATCAGAATCTGCTGGTAAAGTTGTCATTACTGGTGTCAAAAGTGGGCGCTACTTATGTATGGACAGCTTTGGCAATGCTTTTGGATCAGTAAGTATAAAAGTAGTACTCGTGTAATATACTATGCAATGCACTGCATCTATCAGTCCTAAATATTATAGACATAATGATTTTTTAATTGTCTTTAACTTCAAGTATATTTCCTTTATAACCGCTGTTGCAGCACCATGGACAGTTGCTGTAAATTATAGAAACAACAAGCAGCGTAGATAGATTCAGCATGCCATAAGGTAATCCAGCCAACATGAACTTTATGGCACCTTGGCGACAGGAATGGATCAGGTTCTAACTTTACAGAAGTATAGAGTATTACCATCTATAGGTTACATTCTAATATTCTTATACACCAAGGATTGGAAATCTTACCAATTAGATTGCTTGGTCCCACCCCTTTTCTCACCAACTATATAGCTTGATGACTGATTAAATAACCAGTATGCTGTACCCAAAGTAGGATGGTTTGTATACATTTCCCCACACGCATATTAATAGTCCTCATAGTATGCAGGACTACTACATCATCTTTCACCATCTGAATTTTAAAAAAAACAGCTGTATCTGACATGGACTGGACCACAAAGAAGGACCAGAACCCTTCCTCTTCCCCTCCTTCTGTCAAATTTAAATACACCAGCTACACAATGGGAAGGATGCAGGCTCATGTCTAGATACATGCTGAGTACCCTGTATGGAGCCATATAACGTAAGTCCTGAAGCTGGGGCTAATAATGACCCATTAGAGATAATCTGCCGATCCACTGCTGGGAGTGTAATGCCATGATGTGATGGGTTTATATGCTGAGCGTTTTAGGGCGCATGGCAGAAAAAATGGTGGCATGATAAGAGAACAGAATGAGCAGAGTGATAACCTCAAAAGTGTGGATCAATTTTATTGTTCAATCAGCAAAGGGCATATGACCAATCAGCAAGCTGGGGGGGGGTTAGGACTACTAATGCAACTGCGGTAGATGTCCCAGAGCCTGTTTGCCGGAGTTCAGCCTTATAGGATGATCTTTAGAGGTCATCACCATAAAAATTTCTAATATGAATGTGTTTACTTTGTAGCAAGCTTAACATATGCAAAAGAGATATCCTGATAAATGAACCCAATTGATAATTGTTGTGTACTGTTTACCAGCACTACTTTGACTACGATGACTGCGTATTCAAGCACGAAACTTTGGAGAACCGTCACGATGTCTACCATTCCCCGAAACACAACTATCTGCTGAGCCTCAAAAAGCCAAAACAGTTTTTCCGCCCAGGAATGGACTTGCCACCTTATTCTCAGTTTTTATCCATGGAGAACACAATCCCCATCACCCGATTTATCACTCCTGAGCCCGTCCGACACACCAGAAGCGCTGAGCTATTTCCTGATCCCTTCAACATTAGCCAAAACAAGAAGACAACTCTGAATTACCCAACACCCAAGAACGCACAAGATGTCATGCCAAACTTTAATCAAGAACCAGTAAGACGTAACCACATGGAAAAGGTGGACCCTGATGACCCAATAGCCGTCATCAACACTAGAAAAGACCATCCACGTCAACATTACTACAAAAGATAATAGCTTTTCCAGCACAACACCTTCTACTAGTTTCCAGATAGACAAGAGTTTGTAGTGACCCTGTCACAAGGTTACACTTTGCAGACTGAATATGTAATCAGAATATATGAAAGTAGCACCTACTATCCTGTTAGGTAGTTTCACTGTTTGTCAATCTGAAGTTCTCTTCAATCTCTGACACTGACCTTAGTACAGGCAGACAGAAGTGTCAGAGATTAGGCAGAAATTCTGAGCCATTTATTCACAAATGGGAAGTAAGAATCAAACTTTCTAATGATATATTCAGCCCTCACATTGCAACCTGGTGAAAGAGACACTTTAATCAATACCTGAAGTAGGTACTTTAGTTTAAGAAAAACTAAAAATAGTCTGTTGCAGGAAACAAAAAACACAGCTTGTCTAGGCTCTGATTGTAGAAGTCATTTAAATGCTAGAAACAGAGCAGTGGCTTGGTGTATAGGTTTAGCTTCACTGCATTAAATCTAGCATGTGGCAACTGCGCCGGGGAATGGCTCCTTCATTACAGCCTAATCACAGCTTGGTTTAGTAATAGAGTTCCTTATAAAGAAAAAAATATATATATATATACACAGGTATTATCAAGGCCGCCTGTCTGAAACATGGCCCTGGTAAGCCTTATCAAAGAAAAAAGTAGTTATGTAATGCAACATGCTAGGAAGTAGACATTTTGTATTGTATCCATAAGGCACTCTTGCAAAGAAAAATTATTTTCATATCATTAAATAGGACCTATACTAATGATAGCAATGATACCTTAACAGTCCTGCACTAAAGCAAACCTGTCCTTTTACCATGCATGATTGGCAGAGAGTGCTTGGGATTATAGGAAAGGATTCCCAGCCTCCCTGCTACCTCATTGCCTAATAAGAAATGATTGTGTTTTACCTTTGCCCTGGTCAGAGGGTGACAAGTCTGGGAGCCTTCCCTCTGCAGACTGGTGAACATGCGTTCACCATAAATCGACCTGATCCAGGTCAAATTCTAGTTTAGGGGAGGAAGCACAGAATCTTGCTTTTAATGCCAAAAGGTAAATATTCAGGAACATAGCTACTATTTACTAATTTCATGTAACAGGACTGTTGATCTATCTTTGCTTTCATTTCTTAGTATGGCTCTATCATAATGGAAACATGTAGAGAGGAAAATATACATATGATACCATGGCTGACCTCTCTTGAAAATGCTAGTTGCCTGGCAGTCATGCTAAGCCTGGCTTCTGTACTTTCTGAGCTACTGACCCAAAACAAGTATACAGATCAGGAGATCTGACTTTGCACGGGGTTCACCTACTGCATGCTTGTTCCAGGTCAATGACCCACAAAGTATCAAAGCCAGGTAGCATTTTCAGAGGGAAGTTAGAAATGGCAACTTCCATATTTGTCTCCCCACAGGCTTCCTTTAAAGTGTATGTATAGCCAAAACTTTTTTTTTTTTTAAATCTTGGATAGCGTAGTGAGGGATTAGAACCCTGTTGCTGTCTGTGCCCCCTGTAGGTAGATATGTTTTCACCATTTGTCCAAGACAAGAAGTGATCGGAAATCCAAAAATGTAGAGTTGTCAGGACAAGAGTAAGGGGAAATCTTCCAATCAGGACAGCTATGACAACTCTCTGAGAGGGGAGTTTACCTCACTCTGTAGAGATCTCCCCTCACTTCCTTTTGTGTGTTTGGGACAGGAAGTGAAGTCAAATCTCCACAAAGGGACACAGACAGCAAAAAAATAACTTGGAAGGGTTTTAACCCTTAAACAATATTTTGGCAGAGATCCTGTATCACAAAAAAGTCAAGATCCATTATACTTTATTTAAGATTTGATACACGAACAGTGCAAAACCAGCACAGGCTCTATTTTTGCTACTTTAAAACTCCCTTTACTTTGTAAAGTTACTGTCTCCCTTTACTTTGTAAAGTGCTGATCAAACTGTTGCAGCTATAAAAATCCTGAATAGTAATAATAATAATAATACATTTAGAGCTTGATGCTTATCCTGGCTTTAAAGTGACACTATACTCAGGAGTTAAATCTTAAAGGAGAACTATGGGGTTAAGTATTTTCCCCATAGTTCTCCTTAGGGTAACGGGAGGACACCAACTAGTGTCCTCCCATCACACTAGGCTCAGTATACCGCAAGCTGTAGCTCACGGTATACTGAGACGCCGCAGCTGAAGTGGATCCTGACAATTGTGCCAGGATCCGCCCAGCTGCGTGAGTGACAGCTGGCTCTGCCTATCTAGAGGCAGAGCCAGCTGTACCCGCCCCCTCCCCGTCCGTTCCGCCATACAGCGCTGGCAGATCGGAGCAGGGAGAGGGGAATCCAACCCCTCCACCTGTCACGGCAGAGAGCCGTGACAGGATCGAGAGGCGACCGAACCCGGTATGTGTTCGCTCACCTCCCGATCTACTGAACCGACCTGTGACAGTCTCATTGTCACAGGTCGTCTAGAACTTTGAGGTGAGTGAAAAGAACTCACCTCATAGTTCTCCTTTAATTTGACTCCCAACATGATAGACATAGTCTGATTGGTCATTGCTCTCTTTAGACACTTATACACAAGAAGAAACTGAAAAATGGATCCAATTTTTTAGACATCAGCCTTCATGCTACCCTTGGCTGGTGTGGGGTTTATGTTACTTTCGAACGTTGCACTAGATTAATATAAAGGACCACAAGGTCCTTTATCGCTAACTCAAATAGTCTATTTATTTAATATTTATCTGTGAGTTTTAGAATGTGGTATGGGACGAATGATTATGTCAGATGAAGATGAAAAGCTGAACTGTATGTACATTTCTATTTGATCAAACATTTTCAAAGTGTATTGTCTTAAGGGTTAGAATTTTTGTGAAATTATTTTCAGAGGTAGAATGTTGGTGTTGCCCATTGTAATCAATAGCCATTGTCAATGTCAATGATTTCCTAGAATATAGGGAAGTAACGTACACCATGGCACATGCAGTAATGTGCTTAAACACCTCTGTTTTAAAGAGTGTTACCAGAACGGAAGGTGATCTGCTGTATGTGATTGCTACGGTGCATTGCCATTCATTCCTGCATGCCAATGCACATACACAGAAATACAAATGCACCTGCGCTATAGCACATGACTGTGCATTGCAGTGTGTTTCATTGCCGATTGTGTGTTCAGCAATCAGCACCCATTCACACCAGTCATGTTGGGCTTTATTAGGCCGCACTACTCAATGCAGCCCCAACGCAAGAGCAAGGCACATTACCTTGTATCCTATTGCTTCAGTTCACATCAACAAGCTGCCTTATGCCCTTTTCACACAGGCTGATCGGGAGTGAATATGTGCATGGATCCCCTCCTGTTTGGAGCAGTGTGTATCGAATGTCACCACTGTTGTAATGGAGGAAAGAACTAAAACTGCCAGTCCCCATGTCATTCTATGGGGAGTCTGATGGAAATGAGCATGTGCCCGTTTACACCAGATTACCCCCGATCAGGTTTGGCGACACAGAACTCTTTTTAATTTGTGTTTTTGGACCTTGCTGGAGTTGGGGGTAACCGGATGTAAATGGACTCCTGTCCATTTAGACTCAGCTGCCCATAGACTAACTTTGGGCATCAGATCGCGTCAGCCTGGAAAACTGACAGGCGGAGCGAATCTTTTAATTTTTGCACAGCACGTTCCGAATCGCAATGTAACGCTTGCAATGTGCTGCAGCAACGATGTTTATGGATTTAATCTGATTGGTTCACCTCTGTTCTATTCTCTATTTCGCAAACATCCGGCAATATACTCATGTCTGAGCCCAGTACTAAAGTTTAACTATAAGCATAAGAGTTTGTCTTTTGAAACTGATGCAGGCTGTCTCCTGAAAAGTGTTTTCATGTTTCACTTGACAGAAACTTGACTCTTTTGTGATTGTCCATGATAGATGTCTATCAGGTGGAGCAGCCAATCACAAAACAGTGACAAAGAATTACGTAAACGAATGTAAAAAAGCGGTTGTCAAGGAATAACATCTTTGCACATTTTTTAAGAGGCGACACAGCCGAAAACTACAAACATGTTTAAAAAGAAATATTCTAAATATATTATTACTTCTTTTTTTATCAGATGTTTAAATGGAATGAGCAGTCATGTCAGTGCTTTGTTTGTGTGAACTATTTTGTGGAGCACCAGAGGCTCCCCATTTTAATTACTTTTAAATATATCACCACTATGCACTATTATATAATGTATGTAACGATTTTTAACATCTGTGTTGTTTTATAATATTTGTGGGTTAAACTGCGGAAACGCCTTACATTATTATATTAAGAATATTTTTAATAGCTTGTGGCAAATTTAGAGTTTAATTGTTTTACATTTCTTGACACAATTAAAGGGGTTGTGACAGGCTGGATACAAAACTTGGAGTTCATCTGTAAATGAGTGTGAGCATGAAGGCCACAGTGAACTAGAGCTATGACAAGAGCTATGAGACACGGTTACTAAATTTAAACATGTTCACGCTGGAACTTAGGAGATTAAGGGGGGACATGATTTTCACATACAAAATGTTCCATAGTCATAGCAACATTAGCAATAAACTCTTCACGATTAATTCCGTAACAAAGACTAGAGGACACCACCTAAAACTGGTAGAAAAAAAATTCAAACACAGGGGGCGAAGGGGATTCTTCTCAGTTCGCGCGGTTAGGGTCTGGAACTCACTGCCGCAAGCAGTGATTTCAGCTAATAGTCTGGAATCATTCAAGAGGCTTTTGGACGATTTCCTGAGAAACGGTAATATACAGGGGTACAAGTACTTCTAAAAACGAGATGACGCGAGGATCTTTACACCCACACACACACACAATAGGTTGGACTTGATGGACATATGTCTTTATTCAACCTCAAATACTATGAACTAATGATATAAGAGCCTTGGCAAATACATAATGCTGGTTTTTTTTTACTGGCCTTTGCATACAGAAGAACACTGCAGCTACCTGTAGTGAGCTCTAAGA